TTCCAGATTCAAGCCCAGCCCCTCTTGAGCAGCTAATGGAACTCTCCAAGCCCCTGTTTGCTCATCTGTAAAGCAGAGCGATCCTAACTAGAGTTTTTGTAATGATTACCTAATAAGAAAATACTAACAATAGCAATATTAATATTCCCACGGACTCCTCACACATAGCGACTATGTTTCCCTTGATGCAACTTGGGATTGTGACCATACAGCCAGACAAGAAACGAGGATGTGAAGCTTCTATTAGATGTCATTTTAATATCCATAGGAGTTGTAGATTTTCCAGACAGGAAGAATATAGGGGAAAAAATTCAGAATTCTGATAATCAGATTTTGATGATAAAGTTGAGAGAGGATGTGGAATAATTACGTAAGGGTAGACTAATTCAATAAAGTGGCAGTAAAGTAACTTTAAGTCAAAACTGAAAACAAAGAAAGTCCTAAAGTCATCAAATAAATGTGAAATCGAATTAATCAGTGAAGAAAGTTAATCACAATCTAAATGGGGAGCATGGAATTCAATTTACACAAATCAGGAGGGAAGATGAGTTAATAGCCTCTCTTGAACCCTAGAGAGATCAATTTATAAAAGATATGGGTTTGGGGTTCCTGTTGTCATGTGACTAATAAAAGGCGGTTGGCAGGTTGGTCAGGGTCCCGGGGAGAATCCATCTCCTTTCTCAACCGAAGCCTCTAGTAGATTGCTAGCCACAGTCTATTGACATGGTCTCCCCACCTTGCTGGTGACACTATTCTTTGTCAGTAGTGGGTTAGTGTTTTTAACCCATAGAAATTTTGGAATAGAGTGCAAAGATTAAGTAAATCAAATCTAAATTATGAGCACTTTTGTATTAGGTTCAAAAATATTTGGTCAATCATTGAGACCATCTGTATCTATTTGGTATTTTAAATATTTGCAAGTTTTAAGAAAATGTAATTTATTAAAGTGTTTAACAGGGTAGCCTTCTGACATCAATGTAAGTGAGGAACTGAGTAATTAACTTTAGTTCCCTGGTGTTAAATCAAATAAAAAGCATTGAAATGCTTCATAGAACTTAAGATTCATCATCTTTAGAGGTCTAACTTAATAGCCTTGCTTGGAATGGTTCAAATATGTAGGAAGATTTTTCTTGTTAGAGAAATGTGAAGGGCTTTGGGGGGAAAATGGACATATTAAATTGACAGAAGCAATATTTAAAAGAAGTTTATTAACTAGGTTTGTAACCAGAATTGATTGATTAAAGGCGGTTGGTCCATTCAACCTGGGCTGAAGTGACAGAAATCAAAGGCTCCCTTAAAAATATTTGTTAAAATTACTAGATTAACAATTAGAAAAGGATTTGTAAAAAAAAAAAAAAGGATTTATGAATTTATTCATTCAACACATTTGTTGAGTGTGTGCCGTGTGTTGGGCATGATTCTAGATGCTAAGAATATTGCCATAAACAAAACAAGGACAAAAAAAATTTTTTATGGGGCCTACATTCATTAACCTTATGAGCTTTAGAGAAAAAAACTAAGTTATTAAATGTTTTGCTTTAATACAGTAGATATTAATTTTTAAACAAGTTAACTATAAGTAGTCTCTTTATTGCACAAAAATGCCCCTCAATGGACACCAAAGAACTCACATTGATAAATATCTTCATCCATCCTTATGTCGTTAGTGCCTAGCTCACATGCAACTCAGAACTGTGTGTAGCTTGAGTGCTGAATCCTCCTATATTGACTTTCACATCACTTTCACATCACTCACAAGAAATCTGAGTTACGCAAGGTTTCTTCCCTTAAACTGCAAATGTCTCTAAGGTTAAGGAGCTAGGAGATATTTACATCTTGATGTAATTCAATCAGATTGTGTTTCTTCCAACATCTGAGTTAAGGAATAAACTTTCTGATGGAGGGAAGAGAGGAAAATAACTTTGGGGATGGAAATATTTGTGTAGAAAAGGGAAATCTCTGGATTGGGGGCATATTAAAGGACAAGGCTGGGAGTCCTCAGGGCAGTTGGGAGGCTGAGGGAATTGGGTGAGAGGTATAGAGAAAAGGGGAGGAAAGAAATGCAAAGAATTTTCAACTATTTCTAAAAGAACCTCCACCCAAGAAAGAGAAAAAGCCTTTTTTTGTTTGTTTGTTTGCTTCCTTGCTTTTCCAGGTGATTATCTGTACCCAAAATCCATGGGTCAAAATTACTTTGTTAAAAAGTTCCATTCGGGTAAATTAAGCTTTTGTAAAATGACCTGGAAAATCAAAGGAGCATGGTTCCCAAAGGACAATGTTTCTCAGTTCTAAGCAGCCCACTTACCACCAGCCTATTGAAACATAACCTATCTGGAAACTGACCATTATTTTGATAACCAAAATTCACAAAAACCACCCCCAAGGCAGCTCCAGAAAACTGCAGAGAATCCACAGAAGCCCAGCAATGACCTAAACTGTCTTTGCTGAAGGAAGTCCTAAGTTGAGAACTCACAGAGTTTTGCAATCCATACCCATTTTTCAGCTTCCCTATCCCAGCAGTCATGATTCACACATTCCAAAACTGCAGGCAAGGCTGGTGGCTCCTCCTCCACCAACTGGCCATCCCCAGTAATGGTGGCTACCTGTAAGTTCCCCACCAATTAGACCAGTTAGAGAGCAGGTAGATATCTCAGGGCAGAATTGTATAGTGGTTAATTTCGCAGGCTCTAGAGTCTGAAAGAGCTAGATTTAAACCCCTAACTACCACTGAGAGGTTAGTTAAACTCACCACACCTCAGTTTCCTCATCTGTAAGATGGGGATTATTATAATAATACTTATGGCATGGAGTCTTTGAGGGGTTTAAATGAGATAATGTAGGTACAGCCTCTTGCCTGACATACAATGAGTGCTCAAACTTACACTTGTACACCAGCTCCCTAATTTATAGCAAGTGAACAAACAGAACATGTTACATCTTGTGCTCCCGGTATGCCATAATGTAAATGATAATTGTGGACATCTTGGCTGGCCTCAGCAACTTACAACTTTTTGCAACATTAAAGAAACTAAGAAATAATCCAGTTCCTATTTGGGCTCTTGAGATGCTGGAATGAGTTACAGGCTTATAAACAATGTTCTAATAGTTGACAAGGATTTGGCTTTAATCTGGTGAATGAAAATTGCATGAAAAGAGAATTATGGAAGAGTTGGGAAGAAAAAGTGCAGTGCTCTGAATGATGGATTTTAAAATAATCATCCGTGCCTTTTCAGGCATTCAGTCCGGTACTGGACCAAAATACCAGTGACAGTAATTCCTTGAGAAAATGATGTTTCTAAATAGATACATATAAACCAGGCTGATTTATTAAGAGGGAAAAATGAGTTTAATAATACAGTATTAGACTGCGTATCATCCAGGAAAAGTGTACTGTAAAAAATGTTTTGAATATTCATTGACTTCTGGTAACTTTAGTGTTGTAAATACTTGTATTATAGTGAGGTAGACAGTTAAAAAAAACCTCTCCATTAGACAGACTTAAAATTTTGTAATAATATTTAAGAAAATGATAACATTATGAAAGAATGAAATATCTGATTAATGCTTAACTTTGTACAACTCGAATATAAACTTTAAAAATATTAGAACTTATAACATTTGAGTGCATATAACGTTTTGTACATTAAGATGAATTGCATGCTGTTCACTTCCTCTTGCACTTTCAGTCACCTTAAATAAACAAATATATACAGCCTTAACAGAACAACAGTGCATCCAAAGCAAATGTGCATTTTAAATTATTTCTCCTGGCCAAGTCTCTCTCTCTTTTTTTTTTCCACTTAGCATTTTATATTAGCATTTATTCTCATTCTCACCCTTTCTTGGACAGTTTGTAGTTCTCTGAACCAAACAAGCAACAGGTTTAGATTGAGAGAAAGCAAAACCACTTCGGAAAAACAAAAACTTTATGTAATGGTTGGTACAAGTTCCCTTGTTTAAACCATTTTATGGTCAAAATTGAGAAGGAAGCTAACTCTTCAAAGGGCCTACTGATGAGCAATGTTTGAAAATAATACTGGTGCAGGCTGGGGGAAAGTTTGGGGTTTTGGCAACCTGGGGATGGGGTTTAACTTGCACCAGGCTCTCGCCTGCTTCCGGAAGATGAATTCCACCCCTGCCTCCTTCCTCACCACCCTCCCCAACTCCCAGCCCAAGCTCAATGTAACACTTTGCTCTTCTCACAGTTTCTCATTACTAAGTTTTAAACACATTGCCTAACTGGTAATTACAATCTGAAACAATTCTTTGGGGGGAGCCCTGGGCTATTGCTGGCTGGTAATCTTTCAGGAATGTCAGAGAGAGGGGAGGGAACAGAGATTTGAAAGAAACTTCAGAGACAAGGACTTGCTTCTCCTTTCAGAACCCTCTCCTCCCCACTCCTGACCGGTCTCTCTAGCCCCATCCCTGGGGGGCGGGAGACAACACCCCCTCACTGCACCTTTCTACTTCTTGGGGCATTTTGCTCTCCTCTGCACCTTTTACCTTAATTCTACAGTTCCCCATCCCTACTCATTTTTTTGTTTGTTTAAATGGGAAATCACCTTCCTCTTCATAGGGGTATGTCTGAATTTGGGCCAGTTCCGTTCAAAGAAATCTACGGGAAATAGACAGGAGGAAGGGCTTTTCCACGGGTTACCTCCAGCCCGGGCTAAGGCACCTGCACGTCAGCCCATCAGCAGCAGGCCTTGTGGTTTCTCATTATCCTTCAGGGGGTTCCATTTGGACTCATTCTTGTCATTCCATCCATACCAGCTCCCCTTTCCCCCAGAAAAAGCAACAGTAAAGGCAGTGACCTGAGCCCCCTGGAGTGAGATGCGGGTTGCCGCTTCCCTATACGGGCAGAGGCCAGGGCAGGGTTGGGTACAGAAGCAAGCAGAAAAGGCCCACGTGGGCCCATCGCTCACAAAGCTCTTCTAAAGGCAGGACACCCCTCCTGGCTTTCCTAGTCCTCTACCTTAACAGCTCTCTGCTGGGGAGGTCACAAGGCACCGACCGGCTAGGACACGGCCAGAAAGACCCCGCCTTCTTCACATAGGTAGAAAACAATCAGACCGGGATGTGGTCAAAGGTGATTCTTCCTCCCACAGTTTCCCTTCGTAAACTATTATTTTTTCAATCCATGGAGCAGTTGAGAAACAGGTATGCATCTCCCTTGCCCCCCACCTCCTATCAAAACCTCTGAGACACACAAGGAAATCCAAAGCCACAATAATAGAGACACAAACTAAAGAAATCCTCCTTGGCTTGTTTTTCCAGGGTGGCCGGGCAAGGTGTGAAAATCCGTCTCACCCTCTGGGCTGGCAGGTGGAAGGTTCTGGGGAGGCGAAACTCCCTCGTCTCCCACCCGGCTGAGTGTCCAGGCTGCTCCCCCGCTCCCCGCCTCCTCCGAGGCCAGCTCCTCCTCCGCCTCTCTGCAGTCAGGCCTCCCCTGCGGTCCCGGGCCAAGGCGGCGGGAAAGGCGCCGCTACCTGCAGCCACACGACTCCACCACCATGTCCTCGTACTGCTTGTAGACCACGTTATTGCCCGCGTCGATGTACAGGATGCTGATGGGAGTCAGTTTAGTGGGCACGCAGCAGCTGGGCGGGGTGGAGCCGGGGTCCATGGAGTTCATCAGCGTCTGGATGATGGCGTGGTTGGTGGGCTCCAGGTGCGAGCGCAGCGGGAAGTCGCACACGCCTTCGCAGTGGTAGGCCTCGTACTCCAGGGGCGCGATAATCCAGTCGTCCCAGCCCAGCTCCTTGAAGTTCACGTGCAGGGGCTTCTTGCTGCAGCGCAGCCTCGACTTCTTGCCGTGCCGCTTGCCATGGCGGCTGGCGAAGGCCGTGCGCC